AAAGCAACAACTCCACGAAGCTCAACGGACCGAGCGAGCGGCGAGGAGTCGTTGCATGATCTCGCTTAAGAGAATGCATTGGTGGATGCATTGCGAGATCAAGTGAGGGAGCGACCCAAAGCAACATAAATGAAGGCACACTTAGAGTCGATATGGAGATCGGACTCAATGGAGAGCTGACCCGTGGAATGGTGGGTGTGAGGACCATCATCAACTCAATGCAAATCGAGGAGCGGAGCAACTTGGGTATAACTTGGTGAAGTACATAAGCCGCATGAAGAGAGCCAGCATAGAAGATGGAACATAGCGCGAAGACACAGAGCTTTCCTTGGACAGAGGTCAAGGACATGAACTCTTGTAGAGACAAGAGCGGGACGAGCGGGATCATGTCGTTCCATGGGGTCCTTTCTGCTGGAGCGGACTCATCTTGCATGGTGCCAAAGACGAATGGAGCTTCTAGGCACATGCACCTTATCTCGAAAAAGTCTTTGATGGAGGAACCAAGGCGAAGTTGGGTTCATAAGGCCTTAGCATGAAGCAAGAGGATGCGAAGGCGAATACTCTTGAAGAATATGCCACAATGTTGCCATGAAGGAAGCGGTGCGTAGCGGAGATTGTGCTGGTAAGGGCAAAGGCCCAGGATTCAAACAATGGCGCATCAATTTCAGCGAAGTTGGTAGACTTCGAGAGCTACTAGGCGACGGACTGTCCTAGAGCAATGCTTCGTCTGGGTGTGACCCGAGAGCGGGTGGACGAAGGTCGATTGCCAAAGGAGCGAACACAATTGAAGGTGGAAGAGGCCCTACGATGTGTTGGCAGAGGCCACACATTGAGGGATCACAATCCGAGTTCATCCCACAAGGATCAAAATGCAATTGATATGTCACCAGGAGGCGACATGGTGCAGCGGATCGTGGTGGAACAGTTCGTGGTAATGCAATACAGACGAATCTTGTCCCGTGAGGGACTATATCATACAGAGGTATGATCGGGAGCTATTGGGAGCTCCACTTTGGTGAACAACACGACGACAAGAAGGGCTATGGATTCAGGGAGTGAAAAACATGGTACAGCAGAGGCGGGTCTTCCGTGCGTGTATCGAATTTTGCATCAAATGAAAGCCTTGGTCATCACCGTATGGGGGATGTATACCACTAAGGGAAAAGTTTGAATGTAAGTACCAGTGAGTCCCATGGGATGGACTTGATCATGCAGAGGTATAATCAGAGCAGCTGGAGAGTTGGACTGCTCCAGTGCTCATATTCGCTTAAGGGAGCCCGACAAGTCAAAGGACAAAGCCGAGTAAACGAATGTTGCTACCAAGGAAGCTAAGGAGAACAGAATTGGTACGAACCCTATAACATGATAGCAAAGGCCATATATAGGAGTTGCAGTATGTATTTCCATCGACTAAGGGGATCTGCTTGGAGAACACAGAGGTGTTGAAGCAACGGGTCGAAAGAGAAGAGGAAGCGACGACGAGTCCAGAGGGACTTAGCTACCCAAAACCAAGCATCAGTTAGAATGAAGGTGGACTCGGAGTACCACAAAGACATATCTACCGATCGTGAAGAAATGGATGTAGATGTGAGGCGACGAATAGTAGGGTCATAGGCATGGCAGCACCATGGTACCGCAGAGATGGGACTTTCGTGAAGTCATCGATCCCTTGCTCTCAAGGAGAGAGAGCGCTTGGTCGTGAAAGGGGCCGAGAAGGTGGAGCATGCGGAGGCAAACTCCAAGTACCAAGACAAGGCTGAAGGGCAGAGGCCAAGGAACTTCGTAAGGCCGGTGTCAACGAGCTTCTCATCAAGATAGCCGAAAGTGAAAGACTTCGGGTCATACAAGAGTGTACGACCAAGGAATGAGGTAGGCAGTACACGGTGTTGTACCTTTGCTACTCAGTGGAGTAAGCGGCAAGGTTGATGGAGAGGACGGTACAATCCTAGAGGCGACCAAAACTATTAAAGACTTACTCCAAGTTGAGGTGAAAACTTCCTGCATTACAGAAGTTCGATGGCATTGAGAAGATGAATCACAGTAGCTATAACTCAACACAAGGAGTGCAAACATAAGAAGTGCTCAGAAGCGTGAGCAAAGAGCGGGCGAAGGCTAGTAACCAGCTCGATGCATGGAGTACAAACCTCGAGGCAAGCGAAGGTAAGTAACCTTTGCCTTCTCAACTCTTAAGAGAATGGGCGAAACCGAGTACCTCAATTCTTTTATCTATCCAGTAGAGGAGCTCTGCACATGTTCAAAGACCCTTCGAAGAAACCAAATGGAAGACAATAGTTGTCAAATCCTTACCAATGATGATCAGTGCTACTGAGAGTAGATTATCTGCTTTATTTCCTAACAGAACGTCAATCGAAAGCGGAAGTGATGCGAACCTACTTGGAAGTGACAACTAAGTGAAAGAAGAGTCGATGGGCAAATTTTGTGGAGGAAAGACTCAAAAACTTCAAAAGTTTGCGAGACGATGCTCATTAAAACTCCAACAAGCATCCACCCAATTCTAGCAGCATGAGGCATTTGAGAAACTGGCGCATAGGAAGGATGGTCTTTTCCTTTATCAGAAGGATCCGCATGAAACAACAGGGATCAACACAACTTAGCCAACCCCACATTAAAGTCAAGAGTCATTGGCGAGTTGAAACAGCATGGCGGATCAAAAGTTCGACTACTCAATAACAACAGCGGAGAGCAATTGGGAGCCAAGAGGTGCATTGCAGTTAGAGCAGAAGATTGAAGACTCAGCAAAGGCAAGAAGTTGTAGTGTCGGCAAAAACTTCGACGAGGACGTCGAAGGAATAAGTGGGGGAGAATGTCATGGACAAAACTGTAAACAGGGTGTTTAATACAATGCTCATGTATGTCCATGTCTTTTGGTTTGTTCATGCTTTGCACAGCATGTAGAGGGACGGTCGAAGGCTTAATAGCCCCATTTTAATTGGTTTGTTGGTTGTTTTAGGCTTGTAAATAAAGGTTGTGTCATGTGGACACTTGTGAGAGATACTTGGTCTGTAGTGGACCATTTTAGATCCTTTGTTGTGCAACCGTTCAGAGCTTGTAAAGTCTGTTTGTAATTTACATTGGCTATAAAGTGTTTTCTGAAATGTTTGCTTGTGGATCCCAAGTGAGACATTTTTCTAACCCGTTTTCTCTTTTGCAGGTCCCAAGGGACCATGAGAGGTTTCGGGGAGGGTGACCTTTGCGGACGGACATACAAGGGTGCCGCACGACTTAGGCAAAACCAACTAAGTCTGTGACAATACGGGACATTATACTCTTAACAACCATAATTCTATATAATGCATTTGTTATTTGCTATAACCATCACTTTTGTTGTCTGTCATATTGTAATGTTTGTCGCCACAACCATGAGACCCTAGAAAAAATTTAATTATAGAAAATTATAAGATAAAAGTTGCTCTTAATATATTAAAGAAATGGGGACCCTTGCATCAAGAAGGGGGATGTCATGAGGATTGAAATTGATCATATATCTCATATGTGGTCTCTTTAGACAGTTTCTTATTTATTTTTCCATTACACCATAATTCACCTATAAGTAAATTAGAATAGAACTGGGATCACAGAAAGGGTCAATTGCTATCTTCAAAATCACTAGTGAATAGATTTGGATTTCTGTATGAATTACAGAATAGCTAATAACTACAGTAACATATTTGTATAATATAATTAATATCTATTTTTAATAGATATAGCATACTCCTTTAATGAATTATTCTTCATTGTCTTTTTTCAGATTTTGTATCTATTATATTTTAATACTACAAGTTCTTTAAAATCACATCTTACAAGAAAATGAAGATAAAGAATCTGTTAGCATATAAGTTCCCAATTTTATTTAATTTTTCATATTTTTTGCTTTTTTAATTATTAATCTTTCTCTATGAATCCCGATTTCACAGATCAAATATGATAGATCGTTCCCGTACCACTTGCATTGTTCATAACATATCTCAATTCAGAGGGGATTTTGCACACTATGGTGCAAAATAACATACTAGACCAGCAGCTTGCATTGTCAGTTTGTCACTATCAAAGATATGTGCGCAAGTGTGAAAGTAGATTTTTTATATTGTCAGCATGTCCATCTACACATGAACATCTTTTCATTATTTACAAAATGGAACTATTTAGATGTCACTATTCAGGCTATCACAAATGGTAACAAAGAACCTCTAGAGATTAGTCCACCTGCATAGACACATGCCAAAATGAAGGTCATCTCTCATATGCACCAAACAAAACAAGAGTTTCCTCAGAAAAGAAAAAAAATCATTCTTCATGAAAGTGTAGCACATGCCAATAAACTTCAAGTTCACATGAAATAGACAATCTAAGAAACTCACTTTAGACCCAAAAGAAATACGCATAGACAATTTATGAAGTTCAAAAGTTACTGTGAATGACCTATTTCATCAACGTAGTCACTTTTGTCATATCCATGAGGGTCAAAAACATCTTTACTGAAGCATGTCCCAATCTGGTCTATATCTTGATACCTCACAGCATGCTGCAGGAAGTCAGGATTTCGATAATCCTTCCTATTACGTAAATCAGCATTAAAACTTTTCCCACACCTCTTATATGCAAGAAACTTGTTTATCTTTTCCTGAAATAATGAGAATGAAAAGATCAGCAAAAAAAAAGGCACAAAAACACAGATATAAATGAGACTATGCACAGGTTTCTTACAATTATCTGAATCATTCTGGTCATTATGGGTCCATTCATTTGTTAATTAAGAAGATGTTACTAGTAACAAAATAAACATAAATATGCATTGCCTAAGTCGGTTACATTGAACAATGCACCAAAATTTAATCATTTTTTATCAACCGGTTGACTACAGAGTACAGACATGAAGTACACATGCAGGACAAACAGTAACCAATATTGTGTCCCTTGATAAAATATAACAGCATATTTCAAACAAATATAATAAACAAAGTTGACACCAGCATTGGATAATATTGATAAACATAAAACAGAAGTTTAACAAAGGCAAAAATAGATTTAGGTGGGAGGAAACCTGTAGCTCCGTAGGGCATTCAGTTGATGGAGGTGGAGGAAGAAAACTACTTAATGGGTCATCCTTTTGCACTTCCATGGAAACTACAGCATCTTCAACCTGAGTTACTTCGGTCACAGATCCAGTAACATCCATTGGCATACCATTTTCAGATCTAGGCTGTTCAGATAAATCAGAAGGTTGGAGTGGTTCTAGCTGAGTGTTTGGCATTAATATGTGGACAGTTCCTGGAGGCGTTCTATCATCTGCATTCCCCAGAAAATCAACAAGAGAACACAATGAGTGTCCTCTCTATGAATCTACGTACGTGCATCAAGATGCAAACTGCTATAATGCTATTTTAATGACCTTAAGCAAAATTGGTACTACGAAATTAGTTTCAGAAAAAAAATGTTAATCTTTCGGAAAGAAACTCAATGAAATGACCAATAATAAGGTCAAAAATATCTTCCTTAACAATATAAAGTACTGCAAAAATAAGAGAAGTCCTCAACATGTAAGAAGCAGATATTTGGTCGTATGTGTCATCATATAATCATTTTAATTTCAATTTATTAGAGTTACTTGTTAAGTATCTAAATAACTAGGTTATTCCTTACGGAAATCAAGATTATGGACACTGTGGTAAGCTAAATTTGTTATTTCAACAAATGGAAATGGCAGAATTTACTTTTATGGAATCTTCACAGAAAATCTCAGATTATTACACAGTGCAACTTGTGTGAAGCTCAACTTCATGAACTTGAACATGTTTCCTTGTGCACTACAAACCTGGAACATCTGAACCAAATTGTCAAATCTAAGGTCACAGAGTGACAACTTAAAATTGAAGGTGCTGATCAATTTCAGGATTCCTTTTGAATCATAGTATTTCCACTTTATAAGACGATTTAATTCCTAAGATAACCAGTCTTAAGGTTAAAGTGACGAATAGATTGTGGCTGCAACAGAACTGACGAAATAGCCTTTAAAACATATTTATGAAATAACTAGTTAGAGCAAACATTAACAAGGCAAAATTGTTATAATTTGCATAATATTCTTAATTAAAAAAGGTTCGGTATTAAAATTACCATCAGGAACTTGAACCTCTGCTCCAAGCATGAGACGACCATTGCTCGAAATCTCTCCCTCCTGCCACATCCGATGCTTTGCAATATAAGAAAGCTGTACTATAAAATCCACTCAAACTTACAAGGAACATGCTACTATACAGATCAGTCAATTCTTATACAGTCAAATTTGTAAGGAGAGTAGGAAGAAACCATCATTAGGGCATGGATAGAGAGAATGACTAACTAATTTGAACAGGATTAAGGTACTGTAACTAAAATGAACAAAGAAACCCTAAACGTCTAAACGTCACCTCGGGCTCGGGAGACATAGCGGTCTCATCATGTTCATAATCAACGATAGCAAGTGACCCCGTCCTCATCCTCTGAGAATCCAGAGGCTCCGGAAGAGAAGAAGACGTCAGCAGCGGAGGAGAAGGGGAAATTGCGGGGAGGGGAGAAGCCTGTAGCTGAGAGGGGAGCAGCGGCGGCGGCGTGGGGCTCCGGGCGACGGGACTCCTTAGGGTTTCGTAATCCATGGCATCGTCGACAGGAGGGGATCGAGGAAAGCCGTGGGGCGGAGTGGCCTCGAATGACAAGTCCTGCAGGGCAGCCCTCGTGCCTCCATCGACGTCATCGGCGCTACCAGCTCCGGCGACGGGATCCGCCGAGGTGGCCGGAGGCGCAACCTGCACCTCCTCCTCTTCCTCTTCCTCTTCCTCTTCCTCGTCGTTGTACACGGAGAGCAGATCGATGCCTCCGGTTCCGGACGCCATGTTTGCCTTCGGGAGAACCGTCGCAACTTCGATCTGACCTAAACGTGCGAGAGATTCCGGGCCTTTCGCGAGCCCAAATTGCGACTGGGCGAGTGAGCGAGCGACCGCAGGAGTATATGGAGTCGGATCGAGAAGGGTCGAGTCGGATCGGGTCGGGTTGATTTAAACACGAAAATCCAATTCACCAACTCGAAATCGATCCGTTTCTTAAGTCGAAATTATGGACCAGGATTCATTCCATATACGTATTATTCGAATAAAATATCGCCAAAAAACATATATTTACATTAAATCAATCCAATTTATTGATTAATATGAAATTATAATTATATGTGATATAATGATAACTTATATCCAATAGTAATAATTGCATACCAAGTCTTCTTGATTAGCCTTCTTTTGTAGTTGATTTTATTTTCTTTCGTAAAGATATTTAGTCCCAATTAAAATGTAGTGGAACTAAGGATTTATCAGATTCTAGCATCATCCTTATCCATAAAGATATTTTTTTAAAGTTTATTTTAAAATGATAAAATTATGTTAGGGGCACTAAATAAGATTTTTTGTCCTATATTAATGAGTAAGGGAATCAAATACTTATAAGTTTTTAGTATCACTTATTTCTTTATAGGTCTCTTTTAGAGCTCACTCTAAAAAGGTAAAACCATAGAGGCAAGATAATTTGTATGTATGATAACAAAATTATCTTATTATTTTTGTTTTTGGATTTACAACTTAAATGTTATTTTTTCCCATCAGGTAGTGCTTACTCTTACATAAAAGATAACCTTTATTGATAAAGATTAGTTCAAATGGATGATGATGCGGAGGCTTACGGTTTCTTCAAAAGTTAAATTATTTTTATAAATTTATTTTAAAATAATATATTACTGATCTTTATATTTTTTAATAGAATCTTACACTCTCAATAGTGTTAGAATCAAGAGCGACAATAAGAAGGGGGGTGAATTAGTACAGCGAAAAAAAACGTTGATTCCGAAAAATATTCCTTTCGATTCAATCTATTTTAGAAAGAGTTTTAAATTGATTTTATTATCAAAATCCGAGATTCAACAATCTCCCCCTTTTTGATAATGACAACCAATTGGTGAAGAAGTTAACCTTAACTCCCCCTATCTATATATCATATTTTGAGAAAATATATTTTTGAATTCAAGGCTTTTGAATTCAGGCATTAAATTGATAAGTTATTATTCAATCATGTACAACATGATATTTATCATGATTCACCGATTCAAAATATGATACCACGTATCCATTTTCAAATTTCTAAAGATGATACAAGTGACAATTCATCATGGTATCAATTATAAATAGTAAGTTAAGCTCGTGATATCTTATCATAATAATTTGATATGAAATAAAGCATGATACTAGGAATGAAACATTTAAAAGTAATCATGCCACATAAGTAATTATATCACATTACGGTACATTTCAAATAAATATTTGATATTTTTCAAGTATTTATATTTGACAATACCAATCATATTTCAAGCATTTATGATAAGATACAAGCATATTTACGATAAGATACATTACATATATTTATAATGCCAATGCCTGGTCATCAATGTTGCCATATTTTGGTATCATTTCTCCCTCTTTGTCATCAACAAAAATGAGAACAATTTAACAATACAAGTGTGGTAAAAATTCAAGCAAGTTTCACACTAATTTATCCAATCGATATTGCATCATTACATGATAACATTCAAAAGTTCTTAACATCAAAGGTTATCAATATTAAAGCGATCACAACAACATCAAAAGTTATCAACATTAAAGAGATAAATTCTCTCTCTTGTCATCAAAACTTTGAATGAAGAAGAGGAAGGAAGGTAAGGAGGGAATCCAATCGAATTTGTAAAATGATTTGATTCAAAATATCATGTGAAATCATATCGTCAATCTTGCAAATAATCATCACACACTAATATTCATCTTTCAAAGATCAAGATATTCATCGGAATTCATAAAATTCATCTTTCATGAGAAGAATAATAAAGAATTCATGGGAGAGGAGTATCACATGAAAAAAGATATTCACGAATAGAACTTCATAATTCAAAACTGTTTCTCATTAAAAATTTACAAGAGTTAAACCCGTGAGAGATGTATTTGTCAATGAAATCGATGAAGTGATTAAGTGTATCAAAAATCATTAAGTGATGGAGCAAGGGTATGGAGTAAACTTGACACCAAGAAAGATAAAAACGAAATAGATTCATAAAAGCCCCATTCATGAAATACATTAAGATAAAAATAGTCCAAAAAAAAATACAACAAACTCATGCATTCAGACAATTTAACATTCCTAACTCCCTTCTAATGAAATCAAATTATTCTTCATTTAAATGTTTTGTAAAGATATCGACCAATTGATGTTTTGTATCAATGAATTCTAAAATTGCATTATGATTATTAACATGATCTCGTATAAAGTGATGCCTAATGTCAATATGTTTAGTTCTAGAGTGCTAAATAGGATTTTTCGTTAAACATATTGCACTTGTGTTGTCATACTTTATAGGTATATTCTTCAGGTGAATTACATAATCCTCTAAAGTATTTTTTATCCATATAACTTGAGCACAGCATGCACCAGCTGCAATATACTCAGCTTTAGTTATGGATAATGCAACCAAGTTTTGTTTCTTGGAAGACCAAGAGACAAGTGTGTGTCCTAAAATTTGACATGTTCTTGATGTTATTTTTCAATCTATTTGGCAGCTAGCAAAGTCAACATCAGCATAACCAAGAAATTCAAAATTTTTATATTTTGGATACCATAATCCTAGTTTAGGGGTTCCTTTTAGGTATCTAAAAATCCTTTTGACAGCTTTTAAATGAGATTGCTTGGGGTTAGATTGAAACCTAGCACAAAGTCCTACGCTAAACATGATGTATGGTCTAGTTGCGGTGAGGTATAGTAAACTACATATCATATCCTATAAGTTTTTTAATCAAAGCTTTCTCCACCTTTGTCAATGTCTAACTTAGTGGAGGTACTCATAGGAGTATTGATAGTCTTTGAACTATCAATATTAAATCGTTTTAGCAAGTCTAATGCATATTTTGTTTGACTCATAAAAATATCATCATTAAGTTGTTTGATTTGCAAGCCTAAAAAGAAAGTTAATTCACCCATTAAACTCATTTCAAACTCTTGGTTCAGACTTTTGGCAAATAATTCGCATAAAGATTCATTCGTGGAACCAAAAATAATATCATCAACATAAATTTGAACAATAAGATATAAATTGCACAAATAAAAAAGTAAACTAGAATTTAGAGTGGTTCGATTGACCTACATCCACTTCTGATTCCTCCTCCGTCGAGGTTACCATCATCCACTAATGGTCTTCCTTCAATATGCGAAGACCAACCACCTCTTTATAACACTTTCTCCTTTTCACAGGTTCAGGAGATAACCCTTATAAGTCTCACATCTCTCTTGAATGATCTCAACACTTAGAAAGGGAGAAGGAGTACTCTAATACTTTTACAACACTTTAACACTTCAAAGACTCAAGATTATGTTAATACATTCGTGCCCTTTCATGCAGAAAAATGTGAAGTATTTATAAGCCCCAATTGCTTTAAAATTGAAGTAAAAAAGTATCTCATCTTGATTTTTCGAGGTACTAGTGGTACCACCGCCTAACACCTGACACTGGGTGGTACCACCACCCAATCTGGGCAGTATGATCGCTTGACAAGGGCGGTACCACCGATGGCAGCATTAACTATCGACGGTACCACCGCCTGGCAGACCCAATCTCCCAAGTGTTCTGGGCTGTGGTACCACCCAGTATGGGTGGTTCCACCGCCTAGAACACCTGGGAGATCGGGTTGGTGCCACCGCCGACCGTAATTTCAAGTGCCGAATGGGCTATTCAATCCAGCCCAATTCAGCCCTGTTAAAGGCCCAGTTGGCCCTTGACTGAGTTAGTGGGATTACCTCCCGATCCTAACTCAATTAATGTTCTAACTACGATTAAGGCAAGCAATTAGTCCGGTATATCGATTTTTCTTTCGGTGAATTTCTCGGCAAAACTTTCGGCGAACTCCCGACGAACTCTCCGCGATCTTCCAACGAACTCTCAGCGATCTTCCGACGAGCTCTCGACGATCTTCCGACGAGCATCCGACGAACTTCCGATGAACTCTCGGCGAGCTCCCGACACACTTCTGGTATAAGAATCTTCGACTTTGGCTTATTATCTGCTTTATGCCTTACTGCTATCGTAGTTAATCCTGCACATTTATCTCAACACATAAATTAGGTCAAACAATTCACCAATTGATTTCATCATCAAAATCCGAGATTCAACAAATCGAACACTTATCTTATTTATAAACTTTTATGAGACTCTCTGTAACATCCCCCATTTTTAAAATTCTAGAAAATGCATGTTTGTAAATATGAGGATTATTTAATTTTTTTATATTAAATGATATTATATTAAAAGTTTATGGCTAGAGACCTAAGAGTGAATATTAAAATTTTGATATGATTTATGAAAGATTCAAATTTAAGTTAAAGAAAAAAAATGATGGACATGTGTCACTAGCTAACCTAAGGCTGGTGCCACTTATGTTTGCTCACCTAGCCCCTTTCATGCATGGATGACACCTTATAACCCTTGTATTAGCCAAACCCAAGTAATTAGAGTAATTAGATGAGAGATTAAAGAAAGAAAACTTAAGTTTATGCAACTAACATTAGTTTGAGAAGAGAAGGGAAGAAGAAGAAGAAGAAGAAGAAGAAGAAGAAGAAGAAGAAGAAGAAGAAGAAGAGGAAGAGGAAGCTTTGCTTTGCTTGAGGTTTTGTATCAACTCCCCACATTTGGAAATCAAACTATTCTAAGGCAAGTGTTCTAACCCTATCTTATAAAAATTCTAATCTTTGTTTTTATTTTAATTTTTCATAATTCGAAAGATTTCAGCTTAGCACCAAACCTTTCTTTCGTTTTGATACAAGTCATGAATCTATAATTTTTCGATAATCTGACCTCTATATACTGTTTCAGACCTAAATTTTAGCACTAAACTCTATTTATGTAAAGCC